CAGGGCTGGGAAGAGCAGTGAGGGTGAGAGGAACAGAGGGAGACCTGATTGAAGTCTCTTTTGGTCTCCTCTTGGTGTGCTCATGTGTGAAGAGCTGAGTTAGTGTATCAGTGGGATATCCATCGTGCCACTGGAGTTGGTGTTGATGTGGCAGCAGGTGAGTTTGTCCCCTGAGTCAGGAGACCCAGCATTGTGCAAGGGTGTGATGGGCCCTTGGTGGACTGATCTCTGAGGTGAATCACGAAAGCACGTTCCTCCTGAGTGATTAAAGATCCCCTCCTCAAGAAAATGGGTGTTAGCTCCAGAGTCCTGGCCAAATTCCAGTTTGGGTCATTCTTCCTGCAGCTTCAATTTCTGACCCTCCCATGCACATTCATATGGAAGTTTAGACATAATTATCAGCTCTGGACTTCTTTGCTTCCTCCTCTGAGCTGTCATCCAGAGTCACTTGATCTCAGAGATATTAAACAGACCTGCATTTGGCACATTTGGGGTGCATCCAGATGAGTGTGGCCAGCAGGTCAGGGAGGATCTTATTCCCCTCTGCTCTGCCACAGTGAGGTCAACTCAGGAGTACTGGGTCCAGTTCTGGGACTCCCAGTTCAAGAGAGAAAAGGAGCTACTGGAGAGAGTCCAGCAAAGGCTCTGGAGATGGCAGGGCGCCTGGAGCATCTCTGTGAGGAGGAAAGGCTGAGAGCCCTGGGGCTGTTCAGCTGGAGAGGAGAAGCCTCAGAGGGGATCTGATCAATGCTGAGCAAGAGCTAAAGGGCCCCGGGGGGCAAGAGGCTGGGGCCAGACTCTGGTCAGTGGTGCCCAGCGACAGGACAAGGGGCAACGGGCACCCACTGGAACCCAGGAGGTGCCACCTGAGCAGGAGGAGAAACTTCTTTGGGGTGAGGGTGCAGAGCCTGGAGCAGCTGCCCAGAGAGGCTGTGGAGTCTCCTGCTCTGGAGAGATCCCAAACCTGCCTGGCTGTGACCCTGGGCACCCTGCTGTGGGGGAGCTGCTGGAGCAGGTGGGTGGATGAGATGATCTCCAGAGGTCACATCCCACCCCACCATGCTGGGATTCTGAGAGAAGTAGTTGGAGAAGTAATGAACCAGGTGGACTCTGCTCTCTAACATCCTGTCAGTAGGTACCATGCAGGTTGTGCATGTGTATTTTTACTGTAGTTGAAGGAATTCATAGGGTTTTGGTTTGCTTGAAGACTGCTCTGGGTGATTAATAAAAAGAATGTTTCCAGTCATTGGTCTGGAGCCTGGGGAAGTGCAGCATTTCCTTGGTGTATCAACTTGGCAATTTACCATAAGTCCTTAAAAACAGAAGTCCTATAAATAGAAACTGTCAAGATCTTGTGAAGCAGTTTTCCTCTCTTGGCAGTCATGTGAAAGTGAAGACAGTTCAGCTAGACCCTCAGAACCATTTGAAAAGCTGCAGATGTAGGAGAGGAAGGATGATCGTGTTGCAGAGCCACTGAACTAGGTCTTGGAAGGCGTGAGCTCATCTCCCAGCGTTGGCTGCTCCTTTGTGTTTTGGCAAATCTCTTTCCATGGCTCTATTTCTTACTGGGTACAGAAGGATAATAATACACAGAAGGATAATAATAGCTCCTTCCTCCTATGATTTGCCTTTATGCTGTGAACACCTTGGGCTGCCTCTTCGATGCAGCTGACAGAAAGACTTCCAGCCTCTCTAATGAACTTGGATATAAAACCAGGGAGGGTGTAAGGTGTCAAAAGCACGTGCTGGAGTGTGAACCTTCCCTGACTTCACGGGTAACATGAAATCCAGCAAGGCTGATGTTGTGTTTGTTAGACAGCTTGGTGCTGTCGCAAGGAGAGGGCAGAGTCTCAGTGAGAGGTGAGTAGCTGGGAAGAAGACTATACGAGAGCAATTCATGCCTAGAAAGAGTCAGGAAGGCAGGAAACCCGTCTTGTTTTTTGTCTCACCCACTGTGTCTTGCAGAAGGAGCAGGATGAGAAGACCAGTGCTGTGAAGGAGGAGCTGAAGTACTGGCAAAAACTGCGGCACGACCTGGAGCGCGCCCGGCTCCTCATCGAGCTGATCCGCAAGAGGGAGAAACTCAAACGGGAGCAGGTTGGTCCTTCTGCTGCCCTCAGCTTCCCTCCCACACGAGCAACCTGTGCTGCAGGAGGCAGGGGAGGAAGGTGACAGATTTTCTTGAGCCTTTTCCTTGTCTCCATCTCTCCCCGTGGCAGTCACGGCCTTGCGCTGCCCCACCCTCGGCCCCGGGGCTGCAGGGTGCTGGGAAGATGGGTTTGCATAGTGGGTTTGGTTCCTGACCTCCAGCACCCCTCTGCTCCTGGGCCTGGACCAGGTGTTCTGCAGAGTAGAAGTTAGATCTCCTTTAATGATTATTTCAGGAGTTTGGTAACACCTACTCCAGAGAGAGGTCTAAATTACATTGTGCTTTTCATTTCTGAAGCTAAAAATTCCTCTGGTTTGCCCTCTAAGTACATTTTTTAGAAGAAAAAGCTTTAAGATTATAGATTCATAGAATGGTTTGGGTTGGAAGGGACTTTTAAAGCTCATCCAGCCCAACACCCCTGCCCTGAGCAGGGACATCCCCAGCTAGAGCAGGGTGCTCAGAGCCCCGGCCAACCTCCCCTGGGATGGTTCCAGGGATGGGGCAGTGACCACCTCTCTGGGCAGCCTGGGCCAGGGGCTCACCACCCTCAGTGTAGAACATTTCTTCCTTCTCTCCAGTCTAAATCTCCCTTTCTTGGTTTTAAACCGTCCCCCCTTGTCCTGTCCCAACAGGCCCTGCTCAAAAGTCTGTCCCCAGCTTTCTGCCAGGCCCCTGGCAGTCCTGGCAGCCCCCAGCAGGTCTCCCAGAGGTGGAGACCATTTACTAAATTTCCCAGTTTCCTCTTTCATCTGCATGCAGTTCTCCAGAGCTCCACCAGTTAAGTTTCCTTCCCATGCTTGCCAGCTTTGCCCATTGAGGGTCTTTGCTTGCCATATCTGGTTGCAGCCACAACTGTGCCCACTGGGGTGAATATCTCCAAGGAGAGCTTCATGAAAGACTCACCCTGCTCATGGTGAGGCAGCACACATGGCCTTGGGCATCAGCTGAGCACTCTCAGGCTGGCTGCAGGGAGCCAGGCAGAGGGAAAGCAGCATCCTCTGTGATCACAGCTCCTCTGTGAGCTGATTTTTCAGGGCCAAAAACTGCCCACAGCTTTTCTAGAGTCCTTCTGATGCCAGCACTGGTTCCTTTGCTACATTGTCCTCGATGTACAGCAGTGGCTGAGTCCTGCTTGCTGTGTGGACATATTTCAAGTAGGAGGATCAAAAAAAATCACTCTTGGGCTTTGTTTGCTTTTGATGTCTTGTAGTATATCCCTATCACAGTTGGCTAAATCCAGAAAAGCTTGTTGAAAGTATGATGTGCTTTGTGAGAGGATGAAATATCATAGGAAAGTGTCTTGTTGGAGCTCTATCCCAGCCCAGCTTTTTGGTGAGTTGAGGAGGATGCTCCAGAGCCCTGAAGCTTTGTTCAGCTTCTTTCCTGTTTCAGGGAAGATCTTTATATCCATGTTCATTCATTCTCTTATTGATGCTGTCTTGTTGCTTAGCACATCAAATCCAGTTTGCTTTGTATAAACACGCTTGCTTTCCTTTGCTGCTGAAGTGGTTGATTTAATGACATAATGAGGGATTATAAGATCAAAGAAATTAAAATGTTAAAGGAGAAATAAATACCCCTCTCCTGTTCCAGTCTCCTTTGAATGGAGTTTCAGTGGAAGAGATCAAACCGGTGCTACAACTTGTTTGCTTGCAATCAGACAGGATTAGAGCCTTCATAAAGGGTAGAAGGAACTGTATTGGGGATTTGCAGACATCTGACCATTATTGTTTGGCTTCTGCCTTGAAGTGTGAGAATCTTAAACTTTGTTTATGTTCCCTCCTCTAAATCTGGATGTTGTTGTTCATGGAACCTCCTACATACTTTGAACTTTTGTATGATGTTGCTCATTGCCATAATGATACCTTGAGGCAGGGAGTTCTCCAGGATCATTTACCAGGCATGAAGAGCTTCTTCCTGTTTTCATTTTTAGTTGCATTATCTTTTAATTTTCTGGGGTTTCCTCCTGTTTTGGCTGTCTGAGATTGGATAAACAGGAGTTCCCCACATGGAAGGATTTGACTGTGCAGTTAGATGCCACAAAGTGCTGTGTGCTCCTGTGGAGAGGACAAGGGGTTTGCCAGAAATCCTTCAGCAATGAGTCTACCAGGCTAGTGGTATGAAGACCTGACGTTCTCCCCACTGAGCAGGGTGCTGATGATTCAGGAGAAACCAGAGGGAGACACCACTCACGTATCCTGTCCTCGATAACTGTGCTCACCCCTGGTCTCCTCTTCCAGGTCAAGGTCCAGCAGGCTGCCATGGAGCTGCAGCTGACCCCCTTCAACGTGCTGCTGCGCACAACGCTGGACCTGCTGCAGGAGAAGGATGCTGCCCAGATCTTTGCAGAGCCTGTTGACCTGAACGAGGCAAGTCTCTTTCCTAGAGGTGTCTAACGGGTTGTCTGAGGTTTCACCGGGCAGAACCTGATGTGCTCTCCCTGAAAGCACAAACCACCTTGTCCCAAGCTGCTGGTGGACTAAAGGATTTCTCAGAGAGGACTCACAATGGGGGTGTCCTCCTGGGCCAAAAAAAAAAACACAAGGGTGTTGTTTTCTGGAAGCTTCAGCACATCTCAGACAAGTTAAAGTTCTGCAGAGCCAGGATGTGTCTGCCCAGAGCGGGTGACACAGGACTGAGCTGCTGGTGCTGCCCCTTGCTGGTGGAAGGGGCATGAAGAGTGCTTGTGATGGGTGCGCTCTGCTTGGCTAGTAAATGGTTTTTGTAATTGTACAGGTTTTATATGTTTAGGTTCCAGATTACCTGGAATTCATTTCCAAGCCAATGGATTTTTCCACCATGAGGCGGAAGCTGGAGTCCCACCTGTACCGAACGTTGGAGGAGTTTGAGGAAGACTTTAACCTTATAGTTGCCAACTGCATGAGGTATAATGCTAAAGACACGATTTTCCACCGAGCAGCTGTCCGGCTCAGGGACCTGGGAGGGGCCGTGTTGCGCCACGCCCGGCGGCAGGCCGAAAGCATCGGCTTTGACCCTGCTGTGGGGATTCACCTGCCTGAGTCACCCAAAACCGAGGACTTTTACCGCTTTTCTTGGGAGGATGGTGAGTGGTCATGGACTTTTTTTTTATTCCCCCAGGCAGATCGTTAACTGGGTTCTTTGTTCCCAGCGCGTCGCTCGGCCTGCGTGGAAATATATCAGCAGACAGGAATTCTCCTGTCCTTTTACTTACCTAAGCATTTGTCAAACTCCTTTAGAGCCTCAAAGAGCAGGGTTTCAGGTGGGCTGGGCACTCTAAGTGCAGCTTGGCTCCAGCTCCCCTAGGGCATGGCTGTCTGGGAAGAGCCTTGTAGCTGCCCACGCTGTTTGATGTGTGCCATGGCTCTGGTACAGACTTGGTATTTTAAAGAACAGGGCAAAAGTAGAGCTAGAATTTTTTGCTCTGAGGAAAGCACATACATTTAATTAGTTGTAAACTGGCAAAATTAAGGGAACTACTGGAGGGAATTCAGTGGAGGCCTCAAAGATCCCGAGGATACTGAAGTATCTCAGTGCCCAGGAAAGGCTGAGAGCCCTGGGGCTGTTCAGCTGGAGAGGAGAAGCCTCAGAGGGGATCTGATCAATGCTGAGCAAGAGCTAAAGGGCCCCGGGGGGCAAGAGGCTGGGGCCAGACTCTGGTCAGTGGTGCCCAGGGACAGGACAAGGGGCAACGGGCACCAACTGGAACCCAGGAGGTGCCACCTGAGCAGGAGGAGAAACTTCTTTGGGGTGAGGGTGCAGAGCCTGGAGCAGCTGCCCAGAGAGGCTGTGGAGTCTCCTGCTCTGGAGAGATCCCAAACCTGCCTGGCTGTGACCCTGGGCACCCTGCTGTGGGGGAGCTGCTGGAGCAGGGGGGTTGGATGAGGTGATCTCCAGAGGTCCCTTCCAACTCCTGCCATGCTCTGACTCTGTGATTCTGTGACTCTTGAGACTCTGTAAAGGTGTGGAGCAACTGGGTTAGATGGAGCACTGTGGGATGCAAGAGGCTGATGTGTGTTTACTGGGGCCCAAACAATCCTTCTAGCTGAGACTTTCCATTCACAACATGACCACATCCATTCCTACAGCATCTTGAGATGCAGCTGCAAAGTTTGGTTGAATAACTTGGCTAAACTTAGCACAGGATGCTGCTGCCAGTCAGCATGCAGAGCCTGCAGTCTGCCATCCAGTTCCTAAATCTCTCAGTCCTCTTGGATGCAGATGGACAGTCTGCTATGTAGTTGGTGCTGGTGGATGACAACACAGCTCTCAGCTATCTCCTGGCTCCAGCCCTTCAGCAGAGCCAGAGGAATGCCAAACCATGTCATTTTTTTGGCTATTTCTGTTTGTGGTCTGGTTTTGTTGTTTAATCTGGCAACAGAATAGGTTTGTGCCAAGGACCTGGACCGTGAGCTGTCTTGTGTGAGCTGCAGACATGTCCTGCCGCTGTTGTCCCCAGGAGGGTGACAGGACCTGGAGGGCAGTGCAGGTTCAATCAGTTGCTCTTTACCCAGAGGACTGTAGCCTGAGCTCTGAGGTTTACAATTCTTAAACCCCCAAACCAAAGCCATTTGGTCACGAACTCAAAGGGCTTGAGGCGCGGCGGTGCTCCGGCTGTTTCTTCAAGCAGCTTCACTCCTTCCCTTCCCTCTTGGGCTCTCTCTCGATGCAGTGGATAACATCCTGCTCCCGGAGACCCGCGCCCACCTCTCCCTGGAGGCCCAGCTGAAGGAGCTGCTGGAGAAGCTGGACGTGGTGAGCCCCATGCGCTCCAGCGGCGCCCGGACGCGCCGCCTGCGGCTGCTGCGCAGGGAGATCAACGGCGTGAGGCAGAGGCTGGCCCAGCAGCAGCACCGGGCCCTGCCCGCCAGGG